GTGCTCCCTCGAGTTTGCTCTCGCTGTACGATTAAATAAGTCGCGAATCGCTGGCGGAAAGATAGACATATGGTGAAAGAGCGTGCAGGTTGCGTGGGCGTAGCGTGTCAAGCGTTTTTACGAGCCGACGAGCCGCACGAAAGCTCGTCACGTCGACGTGTGTATCCGACGAGTCACGGCCGGATTATTTAACCCCGAGGAGAGCATATGTCGCCATCCCCCATACGCCTAACGGTTATCGCAATTAACCCGCGTCGAAATCAAGCGGCCGATAGCGATCGCGTATAAAAAGCGATTTCATTCGGACACTTGACCGTGATGCACGGGCACTTATTGTTAGAGATACTTATTGCAAAACTTATTCTATGTTTTCAACTTGTGAACTTTTTTTTTTTAATTTCAAAGAAACGTCGAAATATAATAATCGTTGTAATATTGTGTTTGAATTATTTAATCCGAAAGTGACATCAGTCAAAAATGTTAATTTTTTAATTAAAAGCAAGTAATATCAAAAAATGTTGTATTTCTTTTATGTGAATTTTTTTAAGATTACACAGTGTATTATTTTCATATAAAATATTATTTAAGATTATACATTGTATTATTTTCACATAAAACAAAACGAAAGTTAAGCTTGTGAATTTTTTATATTAAATATAAAATATATTTATATTAAATATTGTATATTATATTAAATTTTATATTAAATAATCCATTTGGTAAAGAAATTTCTACTTACCATTCGATATTTGTGCTTGTGTTAGGTACAAAAAGATAGAGGTAGATTAAAAAGAAATTTTGTTATTTTAACTTTGTTTTTCATTTATTTAATTGTCTAGAAGACTCGTTTTTCGATTAATGTTTAATTAAACAGTTAAAAATGATAATTTCTATTTTGTCATTCGAAAGGTAGAAAATGATACTGTGATCTTTCTTTCCTCCCATAAACAAAAAACTATCTAAAAGTAAACCAACATTGTTTTAATTTACATTTAATCACAAAAGTAACATTACAATGTTTTAATTTACATTTAATTTCCAATGACGAAAATCGGAGAATATAATATGTATAATATAGATATCATATTATATAATATGCATAATGTACATATCATATCACAATAGTATAAATACATTAATTACTCTGGAGTTTCTTTTAAAGTCTTCTGTTTAAATTAATTATGAAAACCTAATCTATTACACATACAGAAGTGCAAGGTTTGTTTCGTGGCCTAAATCGAGTTTCTGTTACCCTTATTTAAACGGGTTCCTGTAGGAAGAAAAGTCACGTTAAGAGGAATGTGTACAAGGAATCGGGTGAGTCGCAGGGTGAAACAACCGGGAGGGTTGACACTGAGACTGAAAAAGTCAGCGTCAGGCAAACTGCCTACCCTTTGCTTTCGCCTTGCACTCGACCACCTCCGCAGGACATTGCGATTTTAAACAAGGACACCTCTGTTAAATTCACACCTTCGGGCAATATTAAATATCTTTCACGTAATATGTCAATGATAAGAAAGCTTATAATAGAACGTGATGTAATTCAAGTTAGAAAGAATTGTTGATAATTACAATTAATACCTAACCTAAAATGAATCTCGAATATTTTTTTTAAAATACGCAAAAGTTAGTACAATAGGTTTTGCGATTATAATTAAGCTACGGATGCAATTTTATTTTTTATTTTTTATTTTTTTTATTTTTACGGAGATGATTGAAAAATAAAATGA